GCGGGCGGGCGGGCCGAGGGCGGAGAAACCCCAGGCGGGCGCACGCCCGGCGGGCGGGGGAAGCTGGGGAAGCTAACACGCGACGGCAGTAAGCTCGTCACGCCTCCCGCGGGTTAAAAAAAGACAAACCCAGCCGAAAAAGCTTCCTTCTGCAGCTTCCTCTGCGCCTTTCCTTTCTGGGGTTTGCACCGCCCCCTTTCTTCCCCTCCCCCCTCCAGGGATTTCGTGGCCTCTGAGTTTGAAGATAGAGACAAACAGAATCCCAAACCTGAAATTACCGGTAGGGATTCTAAATTCACTAGCCCTTAAACATGACATGAAAATCAGGTAGGGGAAAGGAAAAGATGAAACTGTGTTGTGGCCGCATCAACCGCCCAAGTACCGGGCTGGGCCATGTGTTTCCTCTCATTGATGGCCTTGTTTATTTCATTCCTGTCACCCAGGAAAGAAAAAGGACCAGAGGGGTTTAAATACTTACCCCTATAAAATCTGTCCATTCTATGAACCATTAACACATGAAGTCAGATTCTGAAGGCATGCTTAATAAAATTCTCCTTAGATGAATAACACACACACACACACACACACACACACACACACACACACACACACACGCTAGCACAAGCAAGAACATACAGTATCTATTGTTAAAATCTATGCTATTAACTTTGCTACGTAATGTTTTCAGGGAGGTTGTTTGTTGTTATTGTTGTTTGCTTGTTTTGTTTTTTTTAGCTCAGGCTGGCTTCAAACTCCCAATGTAGCCAAAGATGATGTTGAACTTGTGATCCTCGTGTTGGGGTAATAGGAATGTGCTGCCACGCCAGGTTTATGCGGTTCTAGGAATCGAACCCAGGGCTTTCATGCATGCTAGCAAGCGACCTCACAACTGAGCTACATCTCCAGCCTAGGATCTGTTCTTTTTAATCTTTGAAAAGGTGTAATTGAAAAGATTCTTCTACCTAGATCACTCATTTAGTCGCTTTTTTTTTTTAATTCAATTTATGTATCTGGGTGTCTTGCTTGTGTGTATGCCTCTGTGTGCCTAGTACCAGCAGAGGCCAGGAAAGAGTGCCAGCTACTCTTAAACTGGAGTCGCAGACAGTTGTGAGCTGCCATGTGGATTTGGATATTGAACGAGAGTCCTTTGGAACTGCTGGGACGTCTCTGCAGCCCACACATTTATTTATTCATATGAATATTCTAATTGCCTAAACCATCAGTCACTAGCTAGACTCCATGATCAGAACCCAAAAACCTGCCCTTAGGAAGTTTGCTTAGGAATTAGGCTGAGCTGGCCAAGATGGGTCAGTGAGTAAAGGACCTTGCGGACACTTCTACGACATGAGTTTGATTCCTGGAACTCCTGTGGTGGAAAGAAACAGCCACCTAATCCCACAGGCTGGCTTCTGACCTCCACAGGTTCACTGTGAGGCATGCACGCCTACAAATACACTCACTTTAAATACATACTAAGTAAATATGTTTTAAAACTTTTAAAGACAAAACTGGGATGCAGTGAGATGTCGGTGGGTGAGGCACCTTTGATCCTAAGAACCCATGTAAAAGCGGAAAGAGAAGCAGCCTCACAAAGTTGTCCTTGGAGTCCCAAACACCACCATGACATGCACGCTTCCACGTACATACCTGTCTCTCTGTCTCTCTCTCTCTCTCACACACACACATGCTCACGAGAATAATAATACATAATAATTTTTACAAGACAAAACCCAAGACAGAGGAAAAAAATAGAACTAAATTCAAACAGCAGAATTTAGAAGAGAAAGTGGTAAACTGAAATTAACCAGCTTTATGAACTTTAAAGAATAGCTAGGATTTGGGAGAAAGTAGGAGGTATTCTTGGTGAAGAAGCACAGACTCAGACATGGGGATTTGGTAGTGGAAGCTTGCTGCCTTCGGGGACAGAAGGAGACAGGGAAAGAGTGGATTCTGATGTTTGTAACTTGCAGAAACAAAGGGACGGAGCATGGCAAGCAGGAGGGCAGACTGGGAAGAGAGGAAATAGTGAGGATCTGGGCAGTTTGCAGGGAGTGAGGCAGGGCCTTACAGTGCCTGTGAAAGGTTAAGGTTGAAACTATGCATTTGGGAATTGTGGTATTCGCTGATGGCAGAAGCCCAAAAGGCGGGTAAGAGTGAGCTGCTCTGGAGAATATTTAATGGGCAGATGGCGGAGGAGGTGATTGTGAAGGCTTCCAAGAACAAGCAGCCTGAGAAAGAGATTAAGAGAGATGGCCTGAAAGCCGAGAAAGAGTTTGAACCTTAGAACATCAGTTATTAATATCTACTGGGGTGTTGCATGCAGAGACAGGAGGATTCCTGGGGTCTGCTGGCCCGCCGGTCTAACCAACCGGCAAGCTCTAGGTTCAGGGAGACTTGGTCTCAAAAAGGCATCCGAGAACGATTGATATAAATACCTGATGTGGACCTCTGGCCTACACACACGGACACACACACACACACACACACACACACACACACACACACACACAGAGGGAGAGAGAGAGAGGAACTTGCAGGATTTGGATTGAAAAGCAGCTGCAGAACTGAAGAGCTAATTAGTTACCTTAGCAAGAGAATTTTCCACGCCAGATGTTGGCAAAGTGATATTAAAATGGTTTCGCAAGTGAGTGGAAGGTAGTTATGAGGAAGGATGACTAAAAGGGTTTTTTGTTTGTTTGTTTTGCTTTGCTCCCCCCCCCCCCGATTTTTGTCATTGAATGAGAGGTGGCATTCATCCAAGGAGGCTTCCAACCTTTCAGCGGTATTCAGGAACTTTCCAGCACTTAGTGGGTTCCTATTATGTGTCAAGCACTTTATAGATCTGAGATGTATCACAGATGCTGCATCTATGTAAGAAAATAAGCAGAGAGTTGTAGTGCAATGTAGCAGCTGTCTGTAAGTGATGGAGAAGGGAGATTGCTGTGCTAGAAGATAACACATGTAGCCAAGTCAAGTAGATTTATGGAAGGCTTTCTGGGATTAGTGATACTAGAGCTGAGGCCTGGAGATATGGTGGGGGTGGGGAGCAGTTTCTATCCTGTTCTCATGAGCAGAGAGGCTCAGAGGAAGAGGTACTGTGTTGCAGAGGGAACTGAAATTAGTTCTGTCTGTCTGCAATTCAGAGCCCTACTTGGAAATGGGTGTAATTGAGAGCCATTGATGTTTTAAACTAGAGGAGTGATGTGTTCAGATCTGCATTTTATAAGGCTCTCCAGCTGGAGTGACACTGGAAAACAGCATGCAGTTTGACTGTTAAACACCTGGGATGAGTCAGGATGAAGGCAGGAAACAGCCTTGTACTCCCAGTGTTTAGAAAAGGAAAGCTCAATGAAAGGACTTGGTACAGAGTGGAGGGCAGAGAGGTGGGGGGAAATAACCCTGATACCTCTCACCCCTTCACTTCTGATCTCCTGCAGGTGCTTCCCATGAGCCCAAGCTAGCCCAAAGTCGGAGAACAAAGGAGCCTGAAAAATGCTGTTTAGAGGAGACAGCCATGGGGGTGGGGGGGCGCATACAGGGGTGGGAACAGATCCAAATAAGAGGACAGAAAGCTATGAGCACACAGTTGATGCAGCCAGCATTCCCTACTGGAATCCAAAACAATGCTAAATATTTTGAGAAAAAACAAATCAGCATTTCGGTACTTCCAAAGTCCTCGGAAGGGACTGAGGATTGGAAATCTGCAGGGTATTGAATTCCAAGTCACATCACCTGCTTGGTCCTCCTCAGCTTCTGACATTTGAAAGTTTGCATTTCCCAGTCTACTTGTAGGCAGGTATAGCTATGTGTCTATAGTTGTTCTAACCCAGTGGTTCTCAACCTTCCTGATGCTGAGACCCTTTAACACAGTTCCTCATGTTGTGGTGGCCAGCAACCATAAAGTTATTTTCGCTTCTACTTCATAACGGCACTTTTGCTACTCTCATGAATCATAATGTAAGTATTTTTGGAGACAGAGGTTTGCCAAAGAGGTTGCGGCCCACAGGTTGAGAACCACCGTTCTAGCCAATACTCTATGAGAAGTAATACTCCACTTCCAGGATGAGATAAAACAAGTCTTTGAACAGTTTTCTGGACCATCTTTCCCCTGCCACAGTAGTTATAGAGAGTTATGGGGAAGACCTTGACCTAGGATGGAATAGCCACAAAATCAAGAGAGCGCTGATCTCTGTGTAAGAACGAAGAGAGCAATGGCCCACACCTGCAGTAAACACTTTGGATGGAGGAAGAAACTTGTATCAGGCCAGTGAGATTTGGAGACTATGTGTTACAACAGCACCAGGCAGGCTTATTCTGCTTACAGTGTAGATGTGGGGCTGATAATAGGACTCTGCTGCTGACTCTCCTCCCATCATGAGGACCTTAAGAGGAGTCTAGCATATTCCTGTCGTCATAACTTGCTTGCAAATGGCCGTAAATGCCAGGCAATAGCCTGTATTTACTCACACCCATTTTTATCTTAAGTACATCTCTTTAGCAGAACTTATTTGAACCTATAGTTTGATTGCCAAGGGAGTCTCAGAGGTATAATTTTTTTTTTAACTTTTCCAAGCTCTTCAAATAGTA